AGCGAATTCGCGAATTCGAGCTCACCTCAGACAAAGCCAACAACAGGCATCGTCTGAGGGGAAACGTGGGCGGGGCTCACCCCTCCACTCCCCCGATATTAGATCCTTACCAGCCTCGGGGGACTTTAAATAGGAGGCGTCTTTACTGGATGCAATACCCTCGCAGCGGCCCCAAATACGGGATCGAGGGGCCGACGGCTGGGCCCTGGCCCCACACCGACGGCAAAAAGCAAGGGTAGCTCCAGCAAGACTGATGTGATGCCCCCCTCGCACTATTGGGCCCTACAGGGCCCTGAGCGGGGAGGGGGACATCGGGGAGGACGGCCTCTTTCGCGGTCCAGGAGCCGGCGCGCCGCGGACCGCCAGAGGTCCGAGGCCGCTTGGCGAGCGGAGGCCCGCCAGGGCCGACGGAGGCAGGAGGCACTCCGTCCTCGGCGGCACCACCAGGGGCCGAAAGCCTGGGGGCCTTCGGGCGCGGTCCCACAGGGGACCCGTCCTCCGAGAGGTCCCCCGCCCTCCTGGCGCGAGCGGGGGGGCACGGGCTCCTCAGAGCCCTGGGCGCGCGAGGCCTTGGCCAGCCTGCACGCGTCCACCAGGTCCGAGTCCCACTGCTCCTCCTCCGTCCTGAACCTCACCCGTCTCACCGCCAGGGATCGCTCAAGGCCCTCGGTCGCCAAGGACGGCGGCACCTCTGTCTCCTCGGGGCCCTCACGGGGCCCAGAGGAGGCACTGGCCTCGGAGGGGCCCCCGACCCCCCCCCCGCGGCCCCCCAGACGCCTCGAGGCCCGAGGAGGCCTGCACGGCAGTGGAGGTCTCAGGCGAAACACCCTCCAGGCCCCAGAGGGCCGCCGCCTCGGCGACGCGACATACACCCCACCTATAAGTCTACGGGAGCCTTTGGCGGAGACCGCGAAAGCAGCACAGCGATCGCACGACGATTATGGCCACGGCACCGCACGCGGTGCGGGTGCAACGGCGCCTCAGCCTCCCCTCGCAGCGGCCGCCCGCCAGCGCGAGGGGCGGGCCCAGCAGCAGCAGACCCGCCGCCGTCTCCACGAGGCCCAGCGCGCTGCTCGCGACAGCGACGGCGCAGCGGGGCAGCGCGTCGGCGAGGCACGTCCACGCGGTCCGCGCGCACCTCGCCATGGAACATCATCCGCCACGAGTTCCCGATCTACGCGGCCACCTGGCGTATGCGATGCAAACCGGCGCTGTGCCTCTCCACCGTGGACCTGGGCAGGTCGTGGATGCGGCGGCCACGCTTCGCCGCCTGATCCGCCAAGTCATTGCAGCGGCGCTCCCAGGGGTCCTCCCTGGACTGGCCCTTCACGTAGCGCCCGTGCTCTGGGCAATCCGCATCACCATCCAGGGAGACACCGCCATGGTCGTCGAGGAAGTGGTAGATGCGGTGCCGCAAGTCGACGTTCTCACGCTTTGGGCACAAACACCACCTGCGACCTCGCTGGAGGTCCTCCAAGAACGGCATATAGTCCGTGTGGATGTGCAGTGGTGCGATGCCAACCGTCAAGACCTGCGATACCGCAAAGAGCTCCGCCCTGCCAGATGCCTGGCGAGGCCCTGGCAGCGGTCCAAAGGCAGCACCATGGTATCGGCCATCGCCCACCACCACGAAGCCTCATCCAGCATGATCGGCCACATCCCAGTGTAGGAGCTTCTTGCGAAATCCATCTGTGAAGACCGAGCCAGTTACCACAAAGTGTCCCTCAGCGCGTGCACCACGATCGCAACACAAAACTCCACGATTATCTCTGGCCGTGAGCGGTGGCAGGAACGAGCTGGGATACAGCCCACGAGAATAAAGCAAATCCCACGGTATCGCCGCTATGGCGGAGGACGAGGAGGAGGAGGAGGAGGAGAAGGAGGGGGAGGAGGAGGACAATAATGAGGAGGAAGAGAAGGAGGAAGAGAAGGAGGAGAAGGCGGAGTAGGAGAAGGACGAGGAGGAGGATCAGGAAGGGGAGGAGGAGGATCAGGAAGGGGGAGGAGGAGAAGGCGGAGGAGGAGAAGGACAAGGAAGAGGAGGATCAGGAAGGGGGGGGAGGAGGAGGAAGAGGAGGAGGAGGAGGAGGAGGAGGAGGAGGAGGAGAAGGAGGAGGAGGAGGAGGCAGAGGCGGGGAGGAGGAGAAGGAGGAGGAGGAGGAGGAGGAGGAGGAGGAACATGGGGGAGGAGGGGGACGAGGAGGAGGAGGAGGAGGATGAGGATGAGGAGGAGGAGGAGGAGGAAGAGGAGGAGAACGAGGAAGAGGATGAGGATGAGGATGAGGAGGACGAGGAGGAGGAGGAGGAGGACGACGAGAAGGAAGAGGAAGATAAGGAGGTGGAGGAGCATCCGGAAGTGGGAGGATGAGGAGGAGGGGGAGGAGGAGTGGGAGAGGGAGGAGAAGGGGGAGGAGGAGGAGGAGGAGGAGGAGGATGAGGAGGAGGAGGACGAGGAGGAGGAGGTGGCGGATGATGATGATGATGATGATGATGATGCTGATGCTGATGATGCTGCTGATGATGATGATGATGATCATGATGATGATGATGATTATGATGATTATGATGAGGATGATGGTGATGCTGATGATGATGACGAGGATGATGATGAGGAGGAGGAATACGCCCCGAAGGTGCTTCCAAGATTGGGGACCTACTGGATGTCTGCCCACTGCCTCACTGGCCCGGAGGATGATCAGGAAGGGGGGGGATGATGATGATGCTGCTGATGATGATGGTGATGATGATGATGATGCTGCTGATGCTGATGATGATGCTGCAGATGATGATGATGATGATGATGATGATGATGATGATGATGATGATGATGATGATGATGATAATAATGATGATGATGATGCTGATGATGACGATGATGCTGATGATGATGATGCTGATGATGATGATGATGATGATGCTGAGGAGGAGGAGGACGAGGACGAAGAGGAGGATCAGGAAGTGGAATGATGATGATGAAGATGAGGATGATGAGGAGGAGGATGAGGAGGATGGGGAGGAGGAGGAGGAGGAGGAGAGGAGAGCAGGAGGAGAAGGAGGGACGAGGAGAGGAGGAGAGGAAGAAGGAGAGGAGAAGAGGAGGAGGAGGAGGTGAGGAGGAGGATGAGGAGGAAGGAGGAGAGGAGTAGGAGGCCGAGGACGAGGAGGAGGAGGGAGGAGAGGGAGGAGGAGGGTAGTAGTAGTAGTCGTAAGTAGTAGTAGTAGTAGTAGTAGTAGTAGTAGTAGTAGTAGTAGTAGTAGTAGTAGTAGTAGTAGTAGCAGGAGTAGCAGTAGTAGTAGTAGTAGTAGTAGTAGTAGTAGTAGTAGTAGTCGTAGTCGTAGTCGTAGTCGTAGTCGTAGTCGTAGTCGTAGTCGTAGTCGTAGTAGTATAGTAGTCGTAGTAGTAATTACAACATCGTAGTAGTAGTAGTAGTAGTAGTGGTAGTGGTAGTAGTAGTAGTAGTAGTAGTAGTAGTAGCAGCGTAGTCGTGAAATATAAAGCAGAAGTAGTAGTAGTAGTAGTAGTAGTAGTAGTAGTAGTAGTAGTAGAAGTAGTAGTAGTAGTAGTAGAAGTGGTGGTGATAGCAATTGTAGTTGTAGTAGTTGTAGTGGTGGTAGTAGCAGTAGTCGTAATAGTAGTAGTAGTAGTAGTAGTAGTAATCGTAATAGTAGTAGTAGTAGTAGTAGTAATAGTAGTAGTAGCAGTAGAAGTAGTAGTCGTAGTAGTAGTATTAATATTAGTAGTAGTAGTAGTAGTACTGGTAGTAGTAGTAGTAGTAGTAGTAGTCGTAGTAGTAGTAGTAGTAGTAGTACTAGTAGTAGCAGTTCTATAGTAGTAGTCGTAGTATTAGTAGTATAGTGGTGTAGTAGTATAGTAGTGTCGTAGTAGTAGTAGTAGTAGTCAGTAATGTGGTAGCGTAGTAGTAGTAACCGGTAGTAGTACGTAGTCGCCGTAGTAGTAGTGGTAGTATTAGTAAGTAGTAGTAGTAGTAGAAGTAGTAGTAGTAGGAGTAGAAGAAGTATTAGTAATCGCAGTAGTCGTAGTAGTCGTCGTAGTAGTAGTCGTAACAGAAGTAGAATCCGTAGTAGTAGTAGTAGTAGTAGTAGTAATAGTAGTAGTGGTAATAGCAGTAATCGTAGTAGTAATCGTAGTAGTAGTAGTAGCAGAAGAAGCCGTAGTAGTAGTAGTAGTAGTAGTAGTATTAATGGTAGTAGTCGCAGTGGTAGTAGTAGTAGTAGTAGTAGTAGTAGTAGTAGTAGACGTAGTAGTAGCCGTAGTAGTAGTAGTAGGAGTAGTAGTGGTAGGAGTAGTGGTAGTAGTAGGAGGAATAGTAGTAGGAGTAGTAGTAGACGTAGTAGTCGTAGTAATCGTAGTAGTCGTAGTCGTAGTCGTAGTAGTAGTAGTAGTAGTAGTAGTAGTAGTAGTAGTAGTTGTAGTAGTCGTCGTAGAAGCAGTATGAGTAGTAGTAGTAGTTGTAGTAGTAGTAGTAGTAGTAGTACTAGCCGTCGTCGTCGTACTAGTATCACAGTACTCGTAGCAGCCGTAATAGTATAAGTAGTAGTCGTCGTAGTAGTAGTAGTAGTAGTAGTAGTCGTAGTAGTCGTAGTGGTAGTACTAGTAGTAGTAGTAGAAGATTGCGTAGGAATAGTAGCAGTCGTAGTAGTAGTCGTCGTCGTAGTAGTAGTCGCCGTAGTAGTAGTAGTAGTAGT